TCTTTCCCTGGCTGGTAGAGCCAGGGTGTTTGTCACCCCTCCTTCCCCACCGTGCTGACCCAAGAGCCCAAGTCCTTCTGTGTGTTAGTGTGTGATGAGAAACACCCCTCTGAGCTGCCAGGACTTCATTCCTTCCAGGTTCACGTGTGATGACGTTGACTTCAACCTGCGCGTCCACAGCGCCGGCCTCCTGCTCTGCCGCTTCAACCACTTCAGTGTCATGAAGAAGCAGATTGCTGTGGGAGGACAGAGGTCCTTCCACATCAAGTCCAAGGTGGGCACCGAGACTCCTGTTTTGTTCCTGTTAAAATTCTGCTTTCCTTTTTTGTACCTTGTGACCAGGAGAGCTGAGTTACTTGGGTGCATCACCACTTGCCATTCATGGGTGTGTCTGCCACGTAGGGGGTTTGTTTCTTCCTTTATTTCTGAAATCCATAATATCCTTGGCAAAAATGCACCTTTGCTTAATCATTTTCCTTTCAAACTTTGAAAAACACCTGAAGTGTCTCTTTACCATCCAAGAAGCCCTTCACAATGAGTTTTTTATATCTAGCTGTTGAACTGCTCATCTTCACACGACTCCCTGTGCAGAACTTTGGGTTCAAAGAAACCTCAGGGACACTATCAATACAAAGAGAATTCTGCAAAACTCTAGAACACTTTTGGCAGCAGATACTCTTGGCTGAATGACTGTGCTTCTAACACAAATCTTAGATTTGTTGCGTGGTGATACATTTCATACAGCCCAGCCCTGAGGTAAGCACATCCTCATGGGCCAGGATTGTGCCAGAAATCCTTTTCCCTCGCAGGTACCCGACACGCCCGTGTCAGTCTCCCCTGCTCAGTACATCTGTGCCCCTGACAGCAAGCACACCTTCTTGGCAGCACCTGCTCAGTTGCTCCTGGAAAAGTACCTGCAGTACCACAGCCACCGCTTCTTCCCTCTCTCTCTGAAGAACTTCAGCCACCCCGTGCTGTCTGTGGACTGTTACCTGAACTTAGGACCCCAGGTACCCAGTGACCTCCAGGCAGCCCCAGAAATGTACAGGCTTTGCTTTGGATGAGTTAATTGATGCATTCCTTGGTAACAGTTCCACAGCCTTCAAAGAGTGATGTGTTAGATCCCTATAATGTTAAAAATCAAATTCTTAGTCCCACGGAGATATTATTAGAGGCTCCAAATAAAGTACTTGGAGACCAATACTGGAGTTGTCCTAAATACTGATACAGACTGTGAATTATCTTAGGTTCTGAATCACGACAGAGCACATTTTTCTTTAAGAAGTGTTTTCTCACTCAGCTGTCGTTTGGCCCTTCCTGCAGCAAACTTCTCCCACAAGAGAGCTTTACAACACTCACTAGCCCTTAGAAAGCCCTCCAAAATAAAAATGGCTTCGTTCCCTCTTGACTGATAAGCTGAGGCAGAGAAACAAACAGGCAGAATGGGAGAAGCTGACACTGGCTCTCAGGAGCTGCTGGCTCCTTCTAAGGGCTTTGGATCTAAAGCCGAGGTCATATTTACACTCAGGTGTAGATTGAATGGAATTCTGGTACTAAGGGAGTGCTGTTCAGGAGGCAGAAACTGTTTTCAGCTTTGCACCTGACCTGGATACTAAATGAAACTCAATCTTGTTGGATTTACCAAAGTTTTTTTTACCAAAACCAGCTGAGTAATGACCTTCCCATATCTGCTGCTCTCAGAACGTTTTCAACTACACCTTTTCATTTCCCTCCTGGCTCAGCTCTTAGAGCTCCAAGTTCCCACTATGTTTGAAAAGCCAACCCTGTGGAAGGGCCTGGAACTGTTACTGTCTTCATCTGTTGCATCCTTTCAGCTCTGAACCATTCAGCACATGAAATGGGTTCAGTTTGGTCGTGGAATTGTTATCTGAGCTGGAATAAGATACAATGGGATTGCAGGAATGTGGGTAAATATAGGAATCCTGGGCCAGAGAGAGTCTCAGTTACTGTGGGTCAACCTTCCCCCACTGAATGAGGCTGTTTCCTGCCAGAGGAGGGTCTGCCCCAGCTGGGCAGCACGATGGCATTTTGGAAACAAAGCCTGGTGTGGAAGGTTCCTTAATTTAAGTGTATAAATCCTGAGTGCTGTAAATAGTCCTGGTTTCTAGTGGATTTGGGCAGGTAGCCATAAAAGTGAACTAGGCAAGAAGGAACCTTGTGAATTTATGTATATGCACAACTCAAATGACTTGAGTAATCCTTTCATGATCCACGTGAAATTAGGCATTTCTAAAGGGTGCATTTCATGTCCAGCTGCACATTTACTGTGTTTACTCGTGTAGATAAACTGGGCTGGGCAGATCACAGCATGATGGTTGTGGGGAGCAGTTGTCACTGCAGCCTTCAAACCCTGTCATATCTAAACCTTATTATAATAACAGTAATTAATAGTAACAACTAATACATAGTTATGAATGGTGCTTTTATGTAGATTTTTAATAAGTGGAGGGATGTTTTGGAAGGAACTATAAATATCACAACATTTGGAGTGGGAAACCAAGTCTGAATTTGCAGGAGGTCCAATTACTGAAAGCTTGATATCAACCTTTAGCTGTGCATAGAAGCTTGGAAAATGTTAATTCTCCCCCCTCTCCCAACCAGATTGCAGTTTGCTACGTGAGTTCTCGGCCTCACTCTCTGAATATCAGCTCCTCTGGTCTGACATTCAGTGGCCTCCTGCTGTACCTCTGTGACTCCTTTGTTGTAGCTAGCTTTTTGAAGAAGTTTCATTTCCTTAAAGGTGAGCTGCAATGATTTATTTTTTTTTACAGAGAATTATAAGACCTGGTCTCTGGGAACCTGGGGAAAAATATATTTTGTATTAAAAGATACATGCATATCTCTGTATATGCATGTGTTCATGTTTGTCTTTATATGTCCCACCCCATGCTTGATCACTCTGCAGCTGTGAACTGCTGTCATAGAATCATTATGGTTGGAAGAGACCTCCAAGATCATTGATCCAACCATAATCCAACTACCACAGCCACTAAACTGTATCCTGAAGCACCACATCTGAGCTCTTCTTGAGCACCTCAGGATGGTGCCTCCACCACCTCCCTGCGCAGCCCATTCCAAGGCCTCACCACTCTTCAGTACAGAATTTTTTCCTAATATCCAGCCTAAACCTCCCTTGGCACAGCTTGATCCCATTTTGTCTCATCCTATTGCTGGTTACCTGGGAGAAGAGCCCAACTCCCACCTCCCTGCACCCTCCCTTCAAGCAGCTGTAGAGAGCAATAAGGTCTCCCCTCAGCCTTCTCTTCCTCAGACTAAACACCTCTGAGTCCCTCAGCTGCTCCTCACATGACATGCCCTCCAAACCCCTCACCAGCCTGCACACAGCAGTGCTGTAAGTTCTGCAGATGTCTAAGTGGGGAGGAATGTTGGGTTTATATCCATGACTCCTGACTTTCGGCTTGAAAGCCGAGTGTTGAAGATCTATGTGTAAAGCATTTACCCTGTGTTCCTGTAGGTTTTGTAATTCCTGATAGGAAATGGGTGATGGACAAGCTTCCACCTACATCCATTTCCTGTCCTCAGTAACAGAAGCTGGCTCAGTTCATGTTTTTTCCTAATAACCAGTTTGTCCATGTAGCCCTGGTGATGGTGGATAGCAGTGGAGACAAGTAACTCCCATCTGTGCTGCAGGCAGGCTCAGTGCAAACTTCTTCTGGGTTGTTCTGCTGCTGCTTCAGGCCCTTGGCTCCCTGGGGGTTCAATTCACACCCATCCAGCTCTGTCCCTGGAGGAAGAGCCCCGTGGCAAGTGCCTTCTTGAGCCAGGCAGAGCTGTTGTGAGCTGCTGTGCTCTTTGCTGCTGTTCCTACAGCTTCTGGGAGGTGTGTGTAGCAACGTGCATGTTGGGACACACCTGCACACACCACTGGGGACACAGGAGTGCCAGTGTCCAGGCTCATTCTGCAGCAGTGTCCACACCTTCAGCAGCCTGGAGGTTCTCCAGCAAAGCTCTCAGAGCAACTGCAAATCAAACCAGTGCTTTGCTGCTGCATTGTTTGAGTGACCAGAGCTATCAATCAGTGTCATTTTGCATAAACCAGACAATTTTCATAGCCTGTAGCACAAAGTGTATTTGATTCGGGATTGCTCCACCTCCCTTGGCAGTCTACTTGAGTGCCTAACCTGCCATGTGAGCACTAAACACAGAACTGTCAGTCTAGTTTCTTTTTATTATATTTCAGATTTTTTTCTGTCTTGGGCATTCCCACTTACCAGCTCTCACTCATATTATGGAATGCTGGTAGGCAATTGCTTCCTCCTAATTGAGCACTTTTCTCAGAAGCCAGGAAATCATGCATGCAGGTTAAAATGGTATCAGGATACCAGGCAGGACAGTTGATCTTGTTTATTAAAATCTGGTATTTCTTGCTTTGGCATTTTGGATTTGCCTGTGTCCATAGCCATCCAGGCCAGAATCTAGCTTACCAACCTGAGCTAAAGCGTGTGATTAATTTTAAGGACATCTTTAGGCCATTTCTGCTCAGCAAAGCACAAAGATCTCTGCCAGCATTCATGGTGATTGACTTGTGTGTTTCACTCAACAAGGTGCTGATCAGCAGGGCTAGAACTGTAATGCATGTGGGGCTTCATCTCCTCTTTTGCCAGGATCCATCACCCCTCTTCAGGCCTGACAGTTATACCTTCCCTTACCCTAAACAGTAGGGAATGTATTGGTAGTCCTTTCTAATGGATGAATCATAGGCTCATAGAATGGTTTGGGTTGGAAGGGACCTTCAAGATCATCCAGTCCCACCCCTGCATGGGCAGGGACATCTCCCAGCAGCCCAGGCTGCTCCAAGCCCCATCCAACCTGCCCTTCAACACTGCCAGGGATGGGGCAGCCACAGCTTCCCTGGGCAGCCTGGGCCAGGCTCTCACCACCCTCATAGTGAATAATTTCTTCCTAATGTCTAATCTGAATGTCCCCTCCTCCAACTGAAGTGCTAGATGCCTGGGGCACCACGAGAAGCTCCTGGTGCAGAGGACACAGCTCTGCTCAGCCCTCCACACGCGGCTTCGCAAGCCCATTTGAGGCTCCTGCTGTGCAAGTGGTGGAGCTCTGCGTGCTCAGGGGTGGTGGGAGCTGGGTGACCAGAGGGAAAAGGGGGTACTCAGGTGGGTTCTTTTCCCCTGTCTGCTCAGGTGCCACGCTGTGTGTGATCTGCCAGGACCGCAACTCCCTCCGCCAGACGGTGGTGCGGCTGGAGCTGGAGGACGAGTGGCAGTTCCGCCTGCGGGACGAGTTCCAGACTGCCAATGCCAGGGAGGACAGGCCCCTGTTCCTCCTGACTGGCCGACACATCTGAGTGGAGAGACACATTTCCTGAGTGATCCCAGAGACTTCATTGCCACCATCTCATGAAATGACTTCGGAGAGGCTCTGCTCTCCCAGCAGAGACAGGACTGCTTTCCACTGCTTGTTACAATGATCCCCGATCAGACACGTTTCCAAACACTGAAGTGACTCTTGTAATGTAATTGTCTGATGGAAGTCCTTCCCAGTTCCTGGGAGAGATGCAGACACAACTCTGCATGGTGGCAACCGTTTTGGATCAGAAGGGAGGTCAGTGAGGGCACTTCTTGACAAGAAAGGTCACATGCCAGTCTATGTGCAAGAGGTTTAGAAAACTTTCTGTACATTCCAGAAACAGAAAATGTAAATTTAGGAGCAGATGTAGTTTTACAGATCTTATTTATCTAACAGTTGGCACAAGGCAGCAGTAATTGTTACAGTTTTGTAGTGCACTGCCACTGATTGATCCAGGTGGGCTTTTTATATGAAGATTTGTAAAGTATATTTCTTTAATAGTGGGAACTCAGTTGGAGCCTTAATTTTTGGGACAGGTGCCACACTGGATAGTTTCACCATACAGGACTCCTGGGACAGAAGCATAATTCTAAATCTGGTTTTATTAGCAGAAAGAAGAGAGTCAAGGAAGTAGATTTTAAAATGAGATCTGAACATTTAATCCTGAAACTGAAATTATCCTGAGTAACTCAAGAGATTTAATGGTGATACTGACCCGCAAGTGACTTATTGCTTCTACAACACTGGTGGTTTCTGGTTTCTGACTGAATTGTTGCACTGGCTGCAGAGCTCACGCTGGGCCCAGGGCACTCAAGACAGCAGATTCTCTGAAACACTCCTAATACACATTCTGGGGATATTTTCTTGCCATGGTGCTTCTAAAGGGTGATAAAACAGAGGCTTCATCTCCAAAGAGATGGAGCTCTGGAAACATGTTGCAGAATAGCACCAGGCATCCCATATTTTGTATGCTCTAAATGTGAAGTCACAGTGGTCACAGTCTTTGTCTGGCTTTTTTGGAAATACTCTCTGAGCTGCAAACTCCATGTTTGTCTTTATAGGATCAGTGCTCACTTCACTCAGTCCAGGTGCAGGAAGGATTAGTACAGACATTGTCAGGAGACCTCTAATCTTTGGGCAGCCCTTCCTTGCTGTACAGACCACTGGGAGGATCATTGGTTTTGTGCTGACGAATGCCAGGAGGGGGCTGAGTCCATGAAATGCAGACATCAGAATGACTAGGCCAAAGAGCTCATTTAGGCTCATTTTCACAACGTAAAGGTAAGTTCTGTGGGTTTGAGAGCCTTGGATCCCGTTTACTAGGTGGCTGCTAGAGGTCAGTGTGTTTCCATGTCATTGTCCTTGTTTCCGAGAGAGAACTGACTTTTTGGGAAGGAAGGTGAGCATTGGCCTGTGTAAATAGTATTACCCATTCAGCTTTCACCAGTGGATTAGTTAAACTTTGTTAAAGAAGTGTGACATTCATGTCTAGTTCATACTTTATCAGTAAAGTTCATGCTGCATGAACATCAGTCGTGGTGATGCACAGGACCAACAAGCACATTTTTAAGGGGATAAAAACAAAAGGGGATAGCTGAAAGGAGTTAATACCACTGAGGAATGCTCTGAACTGACCAAGGGGATATCCCGGGCTGCCTCATGGCCTGCAGCACAACACAGCTGAGAGAGTCACACAGGAAGTCAGAAGGAAAGACAGTGGGTTAAAATCTCCTTTTCTGTACCCAAATACTTAAGCAGCTTGTACTGAGTGTCTGTTAACTCTTCTGGTGTTTTAACTTTGCAAGTCTTCAGACAACCATTTTCTGCAAGAAACTGGAAAAAGGCATAAAGTCTATAATAATAAACAAATAAAAAATGAACCACATCCTTTCTTAGCATTCTCTTTTGCCACAAAGTCTTCAAAGCTTTGATGAAATGCAGCTGCTGATGGGCTGAAAGCACCACAATCCTGAGTGTTGTTTCCCCAGTAACCTTTGGCTCTGTGACCAAGCGCAATCCTTCTTCACCATGGGATATGTACATCAGAAATTGTAGATGGTGAAACCTGCCTGCACAGGTCACTGCCTGATGGAGCACATCCTCTTTTAAAACCAGACATGCACTTGCTGTGTGACCACGAGGCAGTTGCTTCCCATGGTACAACTGGATGGGCTCCCAGCATGGTAGAAAAATACAGCATTTTGTTCCCAGGATGCCAACAAGGTCATGCTTCAGGACTCAGGGAGAGCTGCTCTGCAGAGCTCCATCCAAAAGTTCCTTCTTCCCTGACCCAGTTTACAAGCCAAGCCCCCGCAGAGTGTAAAGCTTCCAGGGAGAGGGACAGCCTGGGGCTCCTGTCCAACTGGGACTCAGAGGTGACACAATCATACAGATACACAGCAATGAAAAATAAAAGCAAATCTCTTTGGGTGGGACTGGCATCCTGTGCTGCAACTTCCTGGTGCTGTTGCTGTTGGCCACAGGTGCACGCGTGGGGCTTTGAGCCCAGGTCCCAGCTCCACCCGCCTCTTGTCTGGCCTTTGTGGGAGGGAATTAGTGGCTTTCAGCCCCAGTGACCTGGGTGAGAAAACATGGCCCTTGCCCATTATGTACACACATCTTTTAAGCACTTCCTTTCTGACTTTGGACGTGGCAAGAAGGCAGAGCTCTCCATCCCACGGAGTGACTCGCTAATACAGTAGCAGCTGAAATGAAAGGCCTGGCCCTCATGCTGCTACAGGCTTTTCACAGCCTCTGCCTCCTCCTCTAGTGCCTTCCATGCTTGCTGGTTTAGTCATTGACTATTAACACCTGCAGGCAGTGTTGTTAGCATGTTCTCTAGTGTGTGTCAGGGTGTGAAGTCTTTTATGATTCAGCTTCTGCAAAGGAGAGTATCTAAATATAAAGGAGGTTAGTGGGAAGGTGACCGATTCTTTTCCTTCTTCCCATCCTCTCTCCACTATCAAAGCACTCCTCATAAGCACTTAATCACTCATGCCTGGTATCTAATCATTACAGATTCTGTGAAGACTGGAGGATGTAAGGGATCCCATCCTTCCCTAGCAGGTGCCTCCCGCTGTGGTGGCAGGGAAGGGACACATCTCAGTTCCCAGCACCAGCAGCTGCTTCAGAGGGGGCTGCTGTTCACAGGCCGTGCCTGTGACACTCCGGTGAAACGTGTCACTCACACAAAGTGCAGGAGGTACCAGTGACAGACAAACAGCCCCCAGGAAGGGTCAGGGTTCACAGGGTGGAAAATGGGGCTATGAATGGAGGCAGCATCCCGGGGAAGCCGAGGGCTCCTGGCTGCAGGAGGAAGCGTTTCCTGGGACGCTGGGGCTGGTCAGGGGCTGTGAAGGAGCCAGGACTGGCAGTGCAGGGGGTGGCAGGACCCCCAGCCCCACGGGCTGCAGGGCTGGCTGGGGGGCACCACACACCCCCTCCTGGGCTCTGCTCCCCCCTGCCACGGGCCCTGCTGCAGAAACAGCTGCCAGAGCTGCTTCCCAGGGGAGAGAGACATGGCAATCCAGCTAAGGGCAGCCTGTGCCCGCACCCCCTCCCCTGCCCCGCGCTCGGGACCCCGCAGCCTCCCCTGCCCCTCCGCCCTTCCACCC